TTTCTTGATTGCTAGGATACAGGTGGGCCTATAGTCTGTCTTGTCAACACAGACCTTGTTAATCTCTAAGAAATGGTGAGGCAGTGATTGGGATCGCGTAGGGAGCAGTCCTGCAGTACAGAAACTTGATTTTGTCGTCTCATCCCTCCCGCTTCTCCTCCTCCTCCCCAGGGCGTACTTTTTGTGAGAGTCTGAGACAGTCTAGTCAGAAGCAATGCAGACAATTAGGGGAGGGGTTGCTTGGCATCTCTCTCATCTAGTGCTTGTCTCTCCACACAGTAGTGCTATTCCTGGATCTCCCTTGCTCATGTCTGCACCTGGCTAGTAGGGGATGAGGTGGTATAAAGGGTCCTTTCAGTTTCTGTTCACAACTGGCCAGCATAGGTCTTGCTCCTGTCATGCCTTATCCAAGTTGGGAGCGGTATTGCTTCAGTTACTGACTCCTGCTGGAACCACGAGTGCTGCCCCCACAGGCACCAGAAGGGATCATGCTCTGTGTGCAAAGCACCCCAGAAAACTAGGTCTTGACAGAAATTCTCTGGCTGGCCTCCTTTCCTCACAAGCCTAAGCTATCAAGATGTCTTACTCCTAAGTGTTCATTAGGATAGCGATATGGAAAACACTAATTTGCATTCCTACAGATCTTCCTTCCCGAGGATCTCAAAGCATTCAAACTCTCCTCACTCCTGTGAAGTTGGTAACTAGTGTCTTCATTTGCCTTCTGTGCTTCAGTTTCCCCATTTGTAAAGTGACTTGGCCAAAGCTGATGTAACCTAGCGCCCTGACTCATTTCCGTGCTCTGCATCTTAGCACTGTGATAGTGTGGAAGTGCCTTTCATTCTGTAAACGTGGCGCTGGGTGTGGTATCCTGCTTGTCTCACTTATATATTTCTGAGTAGCATCGCGATTTGCACCTGCCTTCTCCTTACTCTTGCATCACCCCTAAGAAAGCTGACTCCACTGACATGTAGTTAGTATGAAATTGAGGGTTAACCTAAAAGATCTCAGGTGGGTCAGTTACAGGCAGTGGAGCAGGAACAGGAATAAATACACAATGACTTCCAGGTCCCAAATTTAATTTGTGGGCTCTCTTACATGGAGATGGGCTATGTGGTGGTAAAACATTGAGTAACTGCCACTTTTCTTTATTGAGCTTATTCCTAAGAAAACAAACTTACACACACACAAGGCTGACATTGCATTTTAAAAATGCAAACTGTTAAAATGCTTCATTTACGGAGTCTGCTCTCTGGAAAGCCTCACTACTTCAAAAGTATAATGGGAGGAAGTGCGCTTCAGTTCTCAGATCAGCTCCCCATTTCCCCCCTCCTTCTCTGTATTGGGGGACAGGATTTTGCCCCTGAGGTATGCAAGTGTGTTGTCCTAACAGCTTTCCCTCCCAGAAGAACACTGAGGAGAAGTGGGAGTGAAGGTATATCTACGCTGCCACGGCCGTGCTGTCGCATGGGCAGTGTAGTCACGCTTTATCGCCGGGGGAGAGCTCTCCCGGTGGTGATAAGATAAAATTAAAAAAAAAACTATGCTGAACCAGGGGTGGTAGCTTTGTCACCAGGCGTGTGGCTCCCAGGATAAAGCGCTGTCTTTAGTGCTGAAAAGTGGCAGTAAAACTTTTGTTGCTCGGGGGTGTGTGTGTGTGTGTGTTTTTTCACACCTCTGAACAACTAAAGTTTTAGCGCTGAAAGTGGCAGTGTAGACATAGCCTTAGTCATTATATAATATTCAAACCAGTGGCATCCTTGACTGAGAACTTGCCGTAATGTCTGTCTCTCTCTCTCCAAGCAACCTGCTATAAATTTTGCTTTGCAACTGTTCCTAGCTATTATATAATAGTATAGTATTTGTGCAAAAGCACGAGGGAACAATTGTTCAAAAGATCGTCCCTCAAGATACTGAAGAAAGGTGGGGGAGGAGAGGAAGAAGTATGCCTGCTTTGGATAGCACAAATAGGGGTGGCACTTAAAGCTGGAAAACTTCCTTGTCCTTTTTACTTGCTTTCCTGTCTGTCTTTAATAGGAGTCTCATTTAGGCCAAATTGGTATTTAAAGAAAACCTATCCACATTTGTCACTTCCAGTAAAGAAGGATGTATAATATTATTGGCCTACATTACTCATGTACTAAACTGTCGCATCTAATCTTAATCCATTTCATAATATGATATGGCCAGACTTTTGAAAAGTGACTAATGATCCTTATGTATCAAAGGGGTAGCCGTGTTAGTCTGGATCTGTAAAAAGCCACTGAGTCCTGTGGCACCTTTAAGACTAACAGATGTATTGGAGCATAAGCTTTCGTGGGTGATCCTTGTGTTCCCTTTGTGTCACCTTAAAGGGGCCTGTTTTTTTAAGGCAGAAGCTCAGTTTTCTGACAATCAGGCCCTTTTAGGGTCTCAAGTTAGGAACCCAGAATCACTAGTCACTTTTGAAACTCTTGACCTAGAGCTGAACTGAAGTATTTGGAGGTCTCTACCATCTCTTGGAGTCTTAATTCCTGTTGGTAAAACAGCTGTAATCCAGCCTCAATGCCTCTCCTTTTGGGTTAGACTTTCCAAAAGGGACAGGAATGTCCTCTGTACACTTAGAGGAGTTTATGGTTGGAGGATGTGCTTTACTGAAAGCTATTTAAATCCATCATTTTTCAGATAGTGTCTCAAATTGCAAATGATTCTCCCCTCCCATGTCATCCCAGTCATCGTCCTGTAAGAAAAAGAAGACTCCAGAGACTCAGATACTTAGTGCAAAATGCTTTATTCTGTTCCAATGAAAGAAAATTCCACAAAGCATTGTACTGAGGGGAGGGGGAAACCTCTGCCCTCCCTGGAAGTTGTTTAGCATAGACAGGATTCACATGTTAACAATAAAAGACTTCCTCCTGCAAAGGAAGAGCCAGAGTCCTTGGAGTAGTGTTTTATATATTGGTGCCAAATGTTCCTATGGAAATCAGAGCACTCTAAGTTGTGTAAGTATGTCTTAATTGTTCTGCTAACTTGAAAATTTTAATGAATTAGCTTTTTATTGCTTCACCACCATCTGATGGCAGGATAGAGAACTATCTATGCTGTATGTGGGTTTGTATAGACCAGGGGTTCTCAAACTGGGGGTTGGGACCCTTCGGGGGTCACGAGGTCATTACGGGGGGGGTCGCGAGCTGTCAATCTCCACCCCAAACCCTGCCTGCCTCCAGCATTTATAATGGTATTAAATATATTTAAGAGTTTAATTTATTAGGGGGCTCGCACTCCGAGGCTTGCGACGTGAAAGGGGTCACCAGTAAAAAAGTTTGAGACCCACTGGTATAGACTCTGGGGGAGTGGTAACTGTTTCTAGCTACATAGAAATGTAAACAGCCCTTCAAAGAATAGAAGTATCCACACCAGGGGTCTCAAACTCAATTTACCTTGGGGCCAGTGCCAGTCCTCAAATCCTCCCAGCAGGCCAATAATGTCACTGAAGATGGTGTTCAGAAAAGAAAACGTTTATATTATATTTTTTATTTTGAATTTCTTAAAAATAATAAAACTGTCATACAACTTTATACACTTCTTTGCCTGCCAGAGAGTTTTTAGTGTTTGCCAGACACGTGGCAACGCTTCAGTTCTGTCAGTTTGTTGATGTTTGGCCTCCGTGACTGAGCAGTTGAAACCTTCAGGATTGCAGCAAGGTGTGGCGTCGAATAGCTGTGTTCGGTATTGGGACTTGTTTATATTCATTGTAGGGAAAAAAAGTGATGTTGCCTCCGTGGCTGACTTTGCCCGGCAACTAACGATGCTGCCTCAAGGCTGACTCTGCCTGGCCACTAGTGATGGTATCTCTGTCCCTCTCCCCCAGCCAATGGCAGCTGCGGGGGGCGGCGCCTGCAGCAGACAGAGCCGGCAACGTGGTTGCATGCATCTCTCCTCCGCGGGCCGCAGTGGGGAGGTTCTCTGGCTGCAGATGGCCCTCGGGCCAGGACTTTGAGACCCCTGATCCAGAGTGGTGTTCTCTGGGATTTTCAGTACGGGACTGCTGCGTGAAGCGGAGTAGCTACTTGTTATCCCTTGGAATTTTTCTAAATCATTTAGCCCACTCCAGGTGAGGTGGGCCTGCCTCTCTGCAGCAGCTGTCAACTTCCGCTGGCCCTGTGGGAACTTCTGGGAAAGGGCAGAACCTCTGGGGCAAAAAGATGGCAGGATACTTGGGCTCCAAAGCTTCATTTTAAAGGCTGGACACTCTTGCATCCTGACCCTTATTTTGTAGGAAGAGAGACCCCAGTGGCTCAGTTACCTGTTAACCTCTACCAGTGACGTAGCTGCTGTTCTGGTTGATGGCCGCTCCCCAGCTGGAGGCAGCATGGGGATGCTGAACTGTCAGATGCTAGTGAGTGGTGTTTTGTGTTGGAAGCTACTGAACTGTCCCATGAGCTGACTCAGGATTTAAATGCACGTCTTTGAAGTTAAAAGGTGACTAGTGCGTAAGCCCCCTTTGAGTTTGATTTGACGTTTTGCGGTGACCCAATACGCTACAGCAAGGTGTGCATTCATGGTCTAGTCATCAACTCCTCCTGAGGCCGAAGGTCAAGTGCAAGAAATGAACACGCTGTTGTGACCCTAGGGTGTAGCTGCTGCAACTTAAATAAACTGCCTCCTGCATCCTGGCCCCAACAACTGGGATGAGGGGACATGGCGGTTGGGGGGCAGGTATCTCTAGTCAAGAGGGTGCTCACCGAGTAGGAATAAGGCGCAAACAAGCTCTCCGTGAACACTACTGGCCAAAACATGGATTTAGGGTGTGTTGGGTCCTCTGGCAAAGGTGTGTTTTAAGAAGGGGCTTCAAGAAAGAAAAGGGAGTGTGCATAGTAGACCAGGAAGGGGGTTCTAGATAGATGGGGCCACTTGGGAGAAGGGCATAAAAGAAACTTGGCTATTTCACAGTTAAAACTTTGTGAACTGTACTAGACAGAAATAGTTTAAGCCTGTGTTTTTGGTTTTTTGTCTTCCTCCAGGATCTCAGTCTGCCCAATGGCACTCCTGTAGATACTTCCAGCCCAGCCTCCTCCTCCTCACTGCTCAACAGACTGCAGCTGGATGACGACTTGGATGGGGAAACTAGAGACCTCTTTGTCACTGTCGATGATCCCAAAAAACACATCTGTACAATGGAGACGTACATCACGTACAGGGTTACAACAAAGGTACCAGGCAACTTTTGAACGTGTTACCCTGAGAAAGGAAAGCACTTGCTATCTTTTGGGTGGTTGTTCCTTTTTGGGGCGGAGGGGAAGGTCTCTTAAACTCCAGCACAGAAATAGCAACTTAATTTGTCCCTTTTTGTCAGTTAATGTGCCAAGGATGTGATTGCTTTCAATAGACTCATTGAAGTGTGGTGTTTGTTGAAACTATGCAAAACTGTTAACATCATCCTAGATTTTATCTTAGTAGCTTTTTAAAAAATTGGTTAACGGAGTTTTTTCAAGAAACCATTGATTAACTCTGCTAGACTGACTTCATTAATTTAAGAGTATCAGATTACCTCTTGTATAACCTGATTGAGGTGTATAGAATCATGTTTCAAATATAGCTCAATTTTCCTCTCTGTAGCAGAGAAATATTCCCTCACTGCTGTTTTCATAATCTCTCACTTTTTTTCAGCACTGTGCCTCCTACTATATTGCTTCTGCACTTGGGTGACAACTAAATGTCTCCATGTGCACTCTCCTCTGAATGCTGCTTAAAATTCACTCTCTTCCTTTCTGTAGTCTCCTCTGCTGTCCTAAATATTAGCCTTGCCTTTGCTTTTCCACATAGGGTCTTTGTGATGTGTTAGAGAGGTAATGGATGGTATTACATGAACTACTCATAACAAGTGTGGTCCAGGAATGCTCCTGACTGCAAGGAAAGAAGTATATACTACGGAGTTCTCTCTCTATGTATAGCACATTCATTAGTCAGATGTCTATACGCTAGTGAGAAGAAAAATACACAGTTGGACTAAAAGATAATGGGAATAGAACCTTCTATAGGATTGAGAGGCAGACTGCTATGGGTGGGACAACAACTGGAATCTTCGCAGTTGTGTAACTCCCAAGAGTCAGCCAATCTATCTCCCAAATTATGGGTAGGATGTGTCCTTTGTGTGGCATGAAGATACCTAAACCAATACAGAACTATGGCTAGAGAAACGAAGGGAGCCATGCCTTCGTGAGAAGGAGATGGCTAGGTGATCTGAAGAGTTTTTGTATTATTTTTCTTTTTCTTTTCTCTTTTGGGGAACATCTTTGGCACTGCCTTTGGTATTTCAGTGGTGGCACTAAGAGGAAGGCGCATGCTACTGGAAGTCACTGGGTTGTATGTGTAGAGGGGAAAGCGTGGCCTTGCATTGACCACATAGACCACCTCAGAGCCAAAAAGCTTTTGCCAACTTTAAAGGGTATAGAAAGAGGCTCCTTCACTTACCAGTCAAAAGTATTGGCAGATGGCAGCACAGGGTACCCTGTGCCCTTGATCTGTCTGCCAGTGACCAAAGACTACTCTGAGGACTAATCAATCAGTCTGATTTACGTCATCTACTCCTTCTGTTAGAGGATAAATTTTTGGAATTAGTCTTAATATTTCCAGCTGAGGAGTCTCATGATTATTCCCTGTATACATGTATGGGCACAGCAAGATTTGAACGGAATAAACCAATCCCTTGAGAATTGTTTCCAAAACATAAAACAGCCACTAGGCTTGTTGCTGTTGATCTTACTTTGAAGGCTCTCTGATACTGCCACGATGGGTAGCAGTATAAAACTCCGAGCAACAGAACTACCATCAGAGGCATTTCTAAGATGGATGAGAAACTTGGTTTACCTGGTTGAAAGGCTAGCTCATGGAAATGCTACAAAAACATCAAACCCATGTAGTTTCAGTACTTCAGCAGCACTCAAAGCTTTAAGTTTAAATTGCAAGTAGAAGGGTATTTACCTTCACTTTACTGATCATGGAGAGAAATGAAGCACAGGGCGTGTGAGAGCTCCAAAGTCTCGTAGGAAGCTTGTGGGAACAGAACCCAGATTTGATTCAGTCATGTGCTTTATTCCACGTGGCCGTGTCTGCAATCGCCGCCTTCTGCTCTCCAGCTAGTAAGTACATCCTTCCCGTAGGTAGTGTACGCCTCACAAAGGACTCATAAAAGCCATTCTTGCAGCACCAGATTGATCTTTCTGCCTGGCTTTTATCTTGAAAAATTTAAGGCCTTGTCTACTGGAAAGACTAACTGGAGAACCTCTGAAACCTGAGGAGATGGAAACTGAAAGCTAAACGAAGAGGAATGGATATCTTAGATTGGTCAAACAATAATAATTATTTCTGCTAAAACTCCTTTTTTTTTAAATTCCAGTGCCTAATGGATTGTGGAGACAGAATGCCTCTTAAGAGTCAAAATCCTCATGCCTTCAGTTAGGGTGAAAGGTTTATAATGCACATTTTTGGGGATGGGAGAAAATGAGTCTGACCTCTAGTAAATCCAGGCTTGACCACCTTTCTGAGGCTTTAGAAAACAAAAAGCAGCAAACCTATCCCTTCTCTCTAGGTCATAGGGCAACCTTTCAGGCCTTTATGCACTATAGAGAAATGATGACCATGACACCAGATTTATAGACCTTCTGTGGACCACCTTTCTGATGCGTGTGTCCAAGAACAACCCGTGCTGCTCATACTGCAAAAAGTATTTGGGATACTAAAAATGCTCACAGTCCAGTGGTTTGAAAAACTAAACCAGACAGCTAGTTCTTATTATAGGAATTTCACTTTAGTGGTGAAGCTGATACACTGGAGGCTAGAGAGTTTGGCAAATAGAATTGTTCTAAACAAATCAAGCTGTGACTGTTACTAATTTAGAATGTGCTGGAGAGGAGTGTTTACCTTACTGATTTCTTTTTAATAACTTGCTGGTTAGATGCCAAGGTGGCATAGATAGATGAACAAACATGTTTTACTGCTTAGTTCTAGAATCTCCAGTATGTTTCTCTCCTCTAGCCTGACCAACTTATTGAGGTTGCTTAAGACTAACACTTACATGAATAACTATCTGCCAAGGGTTAAAATGTTCCCAGTGGTCTACTAGATAGCATGTGTGAACTGGAAAGTAAGCTGCATCTTACTGTGTCCTGGATAATAAAATCAGCATATTGATAGAATCATAGAAGATTAGGGTTGGAAGAGACTTCAGGAGGTCTAGTCCAGCCCCCTGCTCAAAGCAGAACCAACCCCAACTAAACCATCCCAGCCAAGGCTTTGTCAATCTAGGCCTTAAAAACCTCTAAGGATGGCGGTTCCTCCACCTCCCTAGGTAATCCATTCCAGTGTTTCACCACCCTCCTAGGGAAATAGTTTTTTTTCCCCCTAATATGCAACCTAGACCTCCCGCACTGCAACTTGAGACCGTTGCTCCTTGTTCTGTCATCTGCCACCACCGAGAACAGCTGAGCTCCATCCTCTTTGGAATCCCCCTTCAGGTACTTGAAGGCTGCTATCAAATCCCCCTCCCCCATTCTTCTCTTCTGCAGCCTAAATAAACCCAGTTCCCTCAGCCTCTCCTCATAAGTCATGTGCCCCAGCCCCCTGATCATTTTCGTTGCCCTCTGCTGGACTCTCCAATTTGTCCACATCCTTTCTGTAGTAGTGGGGGTGGGGGGCAAAACTGAACGCAATGCTCCACATGTGGCCTCACTAGTGCCAAATAGAGGGGAATAATCACTTCCCTTGATCTGCTGGCAGTGTTCCTACTAATGCAGCCCAATATGCTGTTTGCCTTCTTGGCAACAAGGGCACACTGTCGACTCATATCCAGCTTCTTGTCCACTGAAATCCCCAGGTCATTTTCTGCAGAACTACCGCTTAGCCAGTCGGTGCCCAGCCTGTAGCAGTGCATGAGATTCTTCAGTCCTAAAGGCAGGACTCTGTGCTTGTCCTTGTTGAACCTCATCAGATTTCTTTTGGCCCAATCCTCCAATTTGTCTACGTCACTCTGGACCCTATCCCTACCCTCCAGCGTATCTACCTCTCCCCCCAGCTTCCTATCATTGCACTTGCTGAGGGTGCAATCCATCCCATCATCCAGATCATTAATGAAGATGTTGAACAAAACTGGCCCCAGGACTGGCCCCTGGGGCCCTCCACTTGATACCGGCTGCCAACTAGACGTCGAGCCATTGATCGCTGTCCATATCAGGTTGATCAGGCGTGACTTGCCCTTGATGAATCCATGTTGACTGTTCCTGATCACCTTCCTCTCATACAAGTGCTTCAAAATGGATTCCTTGAGGACCTGCTCCATGATTTTTCCAGGGACTGAGGTGAGGCCGACCGGTCTGTAGTTCCTCGGGTTTTCCTTCTTCCCTTTTTCTAAAGATGGGTACTAATTTGCCTTTTTCCTAATTGTCTGGGACCTCCCCCGATCGCCACGAGTTTTCAAAGATAATGGCCAATGGCTCTACAATCACCTCCGCCAACTCCCTCAGCACCCTCAGATGCATTGGATCCGGCCCCATGGACTTGTGCATGTCCAGCTTTTCTAAATAGTCTTAACTTGTTTTCATCACTGAGGGCTGCTCACCTCCTCCCCATACTCTGCTGCCCAACAGGCCAGAGCTGGAAGAAAAAGAAAAAATAGCATTCTAAAATTGAGCTGGTGTGAGTGATTATATTAAATATCCTCTTGGGGTAAATGGGATGTGGCTGGAAAGCCTCTGTTTTGTGTACAGGACATGTACAGCTAATTACTGTCATAAAGTAGCCTTGACCTTGGCAGAACTATAATCCTGAAGACAATGACTTAATCATAATGGACCATAGGGGATAGTGGGAGCCTGCATCTCTAGGTCTGTCCACTTCCTGACAATGAAAACTGACTGAACTAAAACTATTCCAGCTAATGCTGTTGTCAAGATGACACATTGATCTGATCTCTTCCACTCTAGGAAAGTTTGTCTAGTTAAAACCATATATTCATTAGAATGTTTTTAAAAAGTATTTTAGGAGAGGCACTTAAAATTTGCCACGGACAGGAATGGGAATAGGGTATGGACAGAAAGAATAGTCCTTAAAAGTGGAAAACGAAAGTTAGCCTGTCCTGAATGGGGTTCTTGTATCCACTAAAAGTGCAACCGTCGGCTTATCCCAGTGCTCTTGTAGAGCTTAGATCTTGTCCTGATACGTATAGATTCTTGGCCCCCTGAGATGTGTCCCTGTTGGCATTCTGACGCTAGGCATGATGAATGTGCTACAGGGCATATTCTCTTCCCCCCTCCCCCCCCCCCCACCCCCCTCCCCCCCCCCCCCCCCTCCCCCTCTCCATCCACACCAATATTGGGAGAGAAGTCCACACGCCTGTTAGTTTTAAAAGACATTCAATTTCCTGGAATGTCCCATTGTAGACACCACTCGGGATTGGCAAGCTCCTAGGAACGTGGGACTGGAAGGGACCGCCTGGGTCTTCGAGTCCAGTCCCCTCCTATCGCAGGCAACCCTGTTTTCTCCCACTTCTGTAAGGTTGAGTTGAGCCTTTGAATCCTCTTCAAAGTATCCCTTGTATCCCTGTGCTAAGAGGAGCACTTCTAGTTTCTCAAATATAAAACAGGTGGCTGGTCAAGCTTAAACACTTAATCTGTTCTGAAAGCTTATTCTTCACTACCCAGTGATGGTCAAGACATTCTTCTACTATCTTGTCTTGCTGTGTTAATATGCTGAATTTTGTTAGTATTCATCAAAGGACAAAACCTGCCATCCCAAACACACAGTAGAAGCTGCAGGAATATCTTTCTGGGGCCTTGGCTACACTTGCAAGTTAGAGTGCATTAAAACAGCCCCTGGCGCCCTGACGCCTGAGGGATCCACACTGGCAAGGCATGTAGAGCACCTGGACTCTGCAGCTGGAGCGCTCCTGGTAATCCATCTCCAAGAGAAGCATAAAGCTTTCTGCGCCCTGGCTGAAACGCCCAGGCATCAGTGTGGATGAGGTGTTGCATTACTGCCACTTGACTTTAAGGGATTATGGGATGTTTCCGGAGGCCAATCACAGAGCAGGCATGCGGCTATCCCCTTTGAAAGCTCCGTTTCTGACAGCTGGCATGCTTATCTGCTCTGGGACAAACTAATGGGACAACCATTAGTGTGGAATGCTCCTGCTGCAGAGGTGTGTGTGTGTGAGTGTGAGAGACAGACGCGGCGGGGGGGCTGATGTTGGGGTTTTCCCCTTTCCCCCTGTTGCTGTCTGAACTTACAAGAGAGCATGCTGACACCCTCTCTGCCCCCCAAATCAGTCTCTTCCCCCATACACACAACACACTCCCTGTCACACTCCACCCCCCCATTTGAAAAGCATGCTGCAGCCACTTGCACACTGGGATGGCTACCACAATGCACTGCTCTCTGTGGCATTGCAAGAGCTGCTAATGTGGCCACACCACTGCGCTTGCAGCTGACAGCGTGAACACACGGCAGCGTTTTCCCTGCTGTGGTCTCCGAGGGCTGGTTTAACTCCCGGCGCTCTACATCTGCAAGTGTAGCCATGCCCCAGCTTCTTTACTGTTCTTCCTCCCCACTTTCCTCCGCACATAAACAAGGGACCCTCTCCTGTATAATTCCCCAACTGGTGTTTAATCAGTGAGCTGCAAATACATCTGGTCTTCCAAAGCCATGAAACAGAACAAATGACCTCTGATGCCACTGAGTGAGGCATCAGATGCCATCCATGGGGGGGCAGTCAGAATGCATGAACTTCATCTGAAATTTTAAGCATCTTGGCTTCTGGGAGTCTTTTTTTATTAAAGGCTTTCACCCATTCAGACTCTCTACCTGTGGAACAATTAATGTAGCAGCTGCAGAACTGTTGCAAAGTCTCCAAGTATAACTTGCAAATCCTAAACAATTTAAGATGAGCTCCCAGTGTAATGCTGTGGCAGAGAGAGCCAATGGATATATAAATGGAGAAGGAGGGGGATAAGAACAGGTGCATGTTTTTTGCTCTTGTTTTGGTTTTTCTTTTAAATCTCTGCATATGGAGTTGGTGAGACTGATGCTGGAATACAGCATCCAGTTCTGGTATACACTTGAAACAATTGGAGAGGGGGAAACGAAGAGCCACAAGTGCTTGTGTGTCTTACAGTGAGGCTTAAAGAGCTCAATCTGTTTGCCTTCTCAAAGATTGAGAGGTGACTTGTTTACAGTGTAGAAAGTACATTCATAGGGAGAAAACATGAGGCCTTAAAGGGCTCTCTAACATAGAAGAGAAAGGTATAACAAAAACAGAAGCTAAAACCAGACACAAGGCACACACTGATGGTGGATTCTCAGTCTCATGCTGTCTTCAAATCAAGAGCAGATGTTTGGACAATAGTTACTGGACAAAATAAAAAGTTAACTGGATGAAATTCTGTGGCCTGTGTGATACAGGAAGTCAGACAAGGTGACCGAACGATCTTGTCTGGCCTTAAAATCTATGCATTACCGCGGTGCGCTCAGACGTAGCCTGGGATTCTTTTTCCATCTGACTTTTGTCAAATGGAACTTACTGACACCATGTAAATGTGTATCCCAATGGCATGTCCAACACTCTTCTCTGAAATGATTCAGTCTGCAGGCTCTTCAGTGGGGGTTTCTGTACTCTGCCACATGTGGTAGCCAAATAGGCTATGGCTTCTAGTTTCTCCTTTAGTAGCCATTCTTTTCTCATCAGGACATTGAGTTTCTGTTGGAAGATTAGTGAAGTTATGAGGGCCCTCTGCCTTACGACCCAAGGGACTCACGAGATAGTTGAGCTCTTAGCGCACGCATACCAAAGCCATGCACTGATCAGTGCCTGGGAGCTGGGACTTGTGAGTAGTCTGGTAGATGCTGTACAAGCAACTCCTGGCTTGCTTACTTGGCTGCAGCCTATCCAAGGAACATACTGTATGCATTATCTATTTGTAGTTTTCCTCCAGCGAAATTAAACTTGGAGGTTTTGCAGCGAGGAGTTTCTCTGGTTCAGGATATTCCTTGCCCTTACTATCAATGCCTTCTTCATTAGTGGTTATCTGGAAATTGATTCTAGCTCCAAAATACTACAAAATTATGGCTTGAGTCAGAATTGGTTTTGGTGCTCACTTCATTTTGGAGAAATGTCTGCCCAAGGACTGTTAAATTGAGCGATAGTCTTAAGTTAGCTAATTTCTCAGCCTTGCCTAGAAATGAGACTGTACTAAACCTGGGGCTTTGGCAGAGCCCAGCAGTGACACACGCATGTTCTCGCCCACGATTAATCTGTCTCTTGAGTAAACAAGTCATGAGTAATCTTGGTGGGTTTTTTAATCTTCTGTTGCTAAAAGTATTTCGCTCTCTCTTGGCATGAAATCTTCTCTCATGCCATTTCCCCTCAAATGTGTACATTTCAGTGGGGTTTTTTTAATACTAACTTCTCCACCCCACACATTTCCCCTTGAGGAAATGTTCTGCTCTGCTAACTCAAAGTATATCTTCAATAGAACACTTATCTGAATAACTAAACTGAGTGTGTTTCCAAATATTTTATCCGTGGTACTTCCATGGCCTGAAGCTGAAAAATATTTTTTGCTCCCATACTCCCATTCCAAGGACTCAATTTGAGGCATGAATTCTGATTGCCAGGCTTGTTTGTTTCTTCCTAGTTTAAGGTAACTAGGCCACTTTTGCTATATGCTCTAAAATGAAAAGAAAAGCTTTGTTTAATGTATATCTCTTCAAAATTTTCATTCATTTTCTAGGGGATACTGTCTAATCTCTTTTGTTACTATTTCCAGACCACACGGGCAGAGTTTGACTTGCCAGAATACTCCATACGCCGACGGTACCAGGACTTTGACTGGTTGAGGAATAAGCTGGAGGAATCTCAGCCAACACATCTCATTCCCGTATGTAGTAAACCAGGGTCAGCTGTTGCTGAACACTTGTATATTCAGAATGTGTCTGCTTAAAAAAAGTGAATCTTCTGGTTGTTCAGCAGTTATGGATTCAAGGTGTGTAAAAAATGCAAAGCTTCGTTCTATTCTTGTCTTCTAAAGTGAAATGTTCTAACTTTAGAACGCAAAGCAGCACAAAAAGGGCTTACCCTGATCTGTCCCAGCCAGCTTTGAAATTTTATGGATCTTAAATGCCAAGTGCTTGCCCATATGATGCAGCCTAAACCACTAAAGGTCACTCAGGTTTAACTCCGGTTGAAAGGACACCAGTGGAGGTGGCATCTTCCTAGTTTCCCTTATAACATGACGCACGTTTAGCCATTTTGTTGGATACCCACCCTATTCTGTTTGCCCAGCTGTTGGCTTCCAACAGCACTGTCCATTGCCAATGCATTCTCTCTATGGCATCACTCCTCCAGGTTTCCTTTGAGTGGGAACACCCTTCCCTATGACGTACTTAGATATTATAACTAGTATTTAAACTACATGCTCTCTCTGATTTGCGTGTGTAAGGGGTTATAAAGAAAACTCCCTACTCATTCTGTTCGGGCTATTCATGCTATTTGGAGGACTCCTCTGACAGGGAAAGGAACTGACTGTTCCAAATTTTTAGAGGAGGCCTGTGGCTTGATCAGTTGTGTGCATTCACTGCTTGAGCAGACAGCTGGGCCTCTGTCCACTGAAAACTTGGCTAAATAAGGCCCTAAATAATTATCCCTCTCTCTGCAACTGACAGCCTTGTTACTCTGTGTTTGTGTGTGGTCTGAAAGGATTGGTGTCTCCTTTCTTCCTCTTAACATAGTAGCTGGTTTTCACTCTGGGCCTTTGAGGATTATAAGTAAGGTTGCATGAACTCCTGTCCTGACTGGCCACAGGGCAGACTGATGTAAAACATTACTCTTGATGCGTATAAGGCACGGTTAGCAATGTGTGTTCCCATGTGCTTTGTTACTCATAGACTTTAAAGGGAAATCCTCCTGGAGCAAGGCTGTGTAAGATGCTGAGTGAGCCTGTGTGTACCTAGGAAAGCTTGCTTGTGAAGAGGCTTTCCTTCTGATTATTTCCTGTCTTTTAAATAGTAGTAATCGGCTCCCCTCTAGTTATCTAAAGGGCCACTAGAACCACTCCTTACATCCATTATGTGATACCTCTATCTGGACAATGAACTAAAATACCAACTGTTTAACTAGATTAAAAAAATCCATCCATCTCTTTTGCACCTTTTTGTTTTTTTAATTTAAAACACTAGAATAATGCAAAGAAAATCTAGCTCTATTGTATTGCATTTGGGACCAGTGCTGGCAAACCTGCATCACTGCTCCGCCTACCCTTCCTGGGGCCATCTGCGACTCCACCAATGCTAGTGTGGTGTGAAACTCATGTTCAAGTACTGGGCACTTTGCAGATCATCCTGCGGCTCTTCTTGTTTTTAGCAGTAAATCTCAATTTGCTGTTCCCCTAACCCCCTTTACAAACGGTCACTATTTCTGGGCACACAATCTGCATCCCCTTGGTACTGAACAACCTTGGCTTCAGAGTTCAGGGCAGAAAAAGATAAGAAGAAAAGGCCTCATGCTGAACCATCAAGAAGCATGAGGCTTGCCTGAAAAAGCACTCAATAGTATTCGAAGTCTACTTGATTTCACTTCCCCAAGTGCTTGTCTGGGAGTATGAAGCCAGATAAACTTTCCCTGATAGTAAGAGTGCAGTTGGGACTAAGTCAGCTACAAAGAGGGATAAAATTTTTCCAAATTGGATACAGAGAACTACTGTATATGGTGATGGTCACTCAGCCACTGGCTGCTCCTACACTGGATTCCCTAGCCGCAGTATAGTCGCAAAAAATCTTTCAGCCATTCCCTCGAGGTGAGTTCAGTGTCGGAATGTAGCTCGGGGGGGGCAGGAGGCAACAGCACTCAGTGATGATTTTAGTGTGTGCACAGAATGATTTTAGTGTGGTGGTTTTTTGCTCAGGATACAAAGGCATCTATCCGTCATGTCTGTCACTGCCCTCTTGATGGAATTCTAAGTGTGGGTGATTATTGTAGGCCTTCAGAAAGGAGTGACAAAGGATAAAACAACAAACATTAATTAGGGTGACCACGCTGGGGTCAAACCTGGGATGCTGGCTGGGTGTGCTGACAGCTGGGGGTGTAAGGGGGCTCATCAGGGTAGAAGGGTCGCTCCTCTCTGCCAAAGGCTTCTTAGCCAGGTTTTCCCTTCTACAAGGCAACCAGCCACCTACTCTCTTGAGTTCTGTGTTCTGCCCTTAGTCTCATGCATTCTTTCCTCCCTCTCTGCCTGTGTGTAATGCCCAAAGCCCAACTGTCCCCCTCGGCTGCCAGTCTCGTGATTCTAACTAGACCTGCACAGACATACCATATTATGGGGCACTCTAAATCCTGTAGTATCTCACCCTTGGCCTTCCAGGGCTTTTGAGCCCAAATGTAGTGTGTTGCCACTAGCCCTCTGATTTATTGTAGGCATGTGTTAAGTGGCACAACAGCAGAGGGACCACATGAAATTGGAGTGGGAGGAAACCCTTGGATGGGTTTGTGTTTATCCCACAATTGCTGCACTTTCTCTCCTCTGCCTTAGGGCTTACCTCGTGGCTGGGTGATGTGCTGGGTTCCTTCTTTGTGCAGCTGCCTGTGATGGAATCTAGGGCTTCACAGCTCAGGTGCAGATTCTCAGAGTATTCTAGCATATGTCAAAAGACCTCTGAAAGCAAACAAGGGCGTGTGGTACAGTGTAGGTGGCTGGATATAAGGGTTGTGTTTAGGTGGAGCAGCAGGGAGAGCAAGAAACTAGAAGGGCTAGGTGGACATATGAGTAGCTTGTTTCATTGAAGCATGAGCAAACCAAGTTTCAATACAATCTCTGGCAGCAAACTTGTAAATGAACATCTAGTCACCCTAGCTATAAAGCGCACACAGCCTTTGCTTTAACTTTCTTTAATTTTTTTTTTTTTTTTTTTGAGGTGATTTTTCATCTAGGTTAGAATTGAGGAAAATATATTGCAGCTTCCTGTATCCCCTCCTGGTGGAGCTGTGTTAACTTACTGCACCTGCCCTTCCTAAAAATTCTGAGTGGGGAAAGGATCTTTGGTAGCAGTTGGAAAGGGCTTTCTCCTGGTCTTGTGCACCTTTTTTCCTTCGGGAAGGTACAAAATAAACCTATTAACTCAATGAATAATTGAGTTCCTCCTCCCCAATCCTCTGAAATCCTACTAAGCCAAATTCTGCTCTTAGACCTGTGCAAGTCCATTGAAGTAATTGTTTGCATAGATGTAACTGAAAGCAGAGTTTCGCTCATTGTGCAATACTGCTGCAGTTCAGTATTGAACTGGTCCATTTTAATAGTTGGGAAATCACTCTCATCTCTTATTTACAGACCTGTATCTTTAAGCCCTTTATGTAAAAGGTTTCAGAATTGTATGACTACTTAATTAAAGAACATGGAGTCAGTTTACAGATATCTGAGAATAATTCAATCCACTAAAGAGCAATCGACTTCCAATATCTCTTTATAGATCTAAATATGAAGTACTGCAATCAAGTGACTAAATGAAACCACCACGATTTGCTTATTTTTGCTTGTAATATGATTCCCAGGATCTTTAGACTTATATATAAAAGCTATCTTCTCCATAAAATACATTGTTTTTCCACTTTATGGTATACTGGGTATTGGCAAAGACTCACTGTAATATTTGCAGGACTGTTTTGAAAGTGCTGCTGATTTGCTCTGAGTACTTGGCTTGATTTTTGTCACAGGCACTATTGGCTACATAGTAGCATGGATCCCAACCCTTTGTGTTTATAAATGGCCAATTCATTTGCTGCTTGGAAATTTATGTAAATGAACTTATTGGGAGTGGTCAGGTAAAAATAAATAACATTTGTGGGGAAACATAACTGACCTCGGAGTGCATTTTTAAAATCTTTCTTCGTTTAAAAAGTAAGGGGTTTGTAATGATTGGTCTATGGCTTCTTGTTGCGTTGATTAAATGAATGGGAATCTCATCTATCAAAAGAATCAAAGACTGGTTCAGTGTCCCTCTTCCTCCCCTATTGTGGTGTTGGTGAAGTTGTACAAACTTATCGCTTAGCTGGCATCGTCGCACTGCAGTTATGAAGTATCAGGAAACTCCCTTTTTTTCCCCTCTTCAAGTAACTCATGGATCTTAAAGAAGACTATTATGATCATCTAGTCTGACCTGCAAGAAACATTCCACTGCTCCAACATGCCATTGCATAAATCTAATAAAAATGTAAATTTATGGAATTTCTTGTTGAGATACTTGAAGTAAACCATCAAAATTAGAATCTTTCCGAATTCCTGTCCAGCAGAAACACCTAAGCTTTGATTGTCATAACCATCTGTGGGATGGATCAACTTACCTTGGCAAACGACTTTTTTTTTTTTTTTTTTTTTTTTTTAAATGGTAATGCTTCCTTTGCTGTGGTCCCATATGGTACCTATTAAAATGCTGGAGAAACTAAAGTGTTTCAAAACTAGTAATGGTCTGGCAGTGTTTCCAGTGTGGAAGTCCTTTCACTTCATTTTTACCACAGGTTTCCTCTTTCCAACTTCAGACGGCAAGAAAGATTCTCTTCAGTGAGAGACTTCTCATAAGTTGCTGAGTTGATCTTTATTTAATGATGGGTATATATTGCAGTCTGCACAGAGTCTGACATTCTTTCCACTCTGACAGAATAGGAAAGCAAACTTGGAACAAAACATGGTGTGTGGCTTTTAAGGACAACCCCCCCCCCCCAAACCTAGTATCACAGATTTGGTGTCCGGGCTGCTGTACGGAGATGCTACAAATGTCTCAGAAGTACAAAATGATCAAATTAATGCCTCCTTCAATTGCAGGCATGGTAACTAGGTGTGCCAAACCCTTGATTGGTATTTGGCTTTGGTCACTGCCTCTATTCATGCTATTCTGAATGGGAGGGTGAAAATGTGATTAGAGATGTTAATGTAGCTGTACTGTAGCTTGTGATGTTTGCCCTCCCTCCATGCAGAAGAAGGCTAAGTGAATTACCCAAGGTCACACAGCAAAATATAATAGCAGAGCGGAGAATAGAACCAAGGTGTCGGTCCTGCTGCATCTACCAGTCCACAGTTTCCCACAAATGTAAAGTTTTTGCTGCATATTCCATAAATATAAACCCTAATTAATGGGAAATGGATGGCCAGTTAATGTTCCAGAATTAGTAGATTGATGGATATCTACCGCAGGGGTTAGTGCTCTTCATCCGTCATGTTGAGGGAGGAGTTGAGCACTAAGATATTGCAGAAGTGTAGGAGGGGAAAAGAACAGGCCCAACTGGCAGGCACTACTTTAAAGAAAAACATACCCCATACTTAAATTTCACTTTCGTTGGCAATGACCGCACACCTTACCATGGTATAGGCCTGATCTTTCAATTGGGGCCTCTACCTGGCCTTCCTTCATTTGCACACGCACCTTTAACAGTAGGAAGAAAAGAAGCTTAGAGATTTTACCTTCAGCTTCTCCAGAGATGGTTGAGCCAAGAAGCTCAAGTAAGTATCTTTGAACTGGTAAACTACTTTGTCACAATTTTTAAAGAGGAAAAAATGCTTGCAAAAGTCGACTACTGCTTCCAACCCACTCTAAAGCATTTGAGCTTTCAGATGCTTTTCCAAACTTTTTTAGGGTTTGCCTGAAACTTCTTAGCAATGAGCTGGTCCAGGAAGGCATCTCTATTCAGAGCAGCACTTAAGCGTGGGCATAAGTCCCACTGAGGTGAATGGGATTTAAGTACATACTGAAAGTTAAGCATGTGCTTAAGTGCTTTCCTGAATTGGCGCCTCAATGTAGGTAAACTGGGTACAGTAGAGGGAAGTTTTCTTCCCTAGTCCACTCCACACCCCCATATGAGCTACATTTGTAATGTCTCCAAAGGCCATGGGCCAGTTTTGTTCCTGCTACATTGGTATGGTACTTTGGAATGACACCACTGAGTTAAATTGAATTAGTCCAGATTTATTTCAGGATAACTGGAAAAAAATGCAGTTCCAATTAACAGCGTCTCTATTTACTTGTGTCAAGACTGAACTAGCTAATTAATAGAAACAAGGAAGTATTAGCAAAAGCAATTGGCTTTTATTCTACTGAAAACAGTCTCTCTGCCTTTTTTTTCACAGCCTCTTCCTGAGAAATTTGTGATGAAGGGAGTTGTTGATCGCTTTTCTGAAGAATTTGTGGAGACGAGGAGGAAAGCTTTAGATAAATTCTTGAAAAGAATTGCAGACCATCCAGTACTTTCTTTCAATGAACATTTCAATGTGTTTCTCACAGCCAAGGTAAGCATATGAATTTAAACATACAAAATCTAGAGAGATCTGAGAAACACGAGCTGTTGAAAATGAACGTGATAAATGAGACTAAAGAGAAGAAACACAACCAACCATGCTGGGCCTAGGACAAGTGCATGCTCAGCATAGCAGAGAGCTGCTGCGGATGCAAGGGCAGCTGTAAACAACCTTTCTGTCTTCCCTCTCTGTTGGACGTTCAACCCTATGGGCTGATCTAGCTTTGGGGGCCGTTACATCAGTAAGGATCTACCAGTGTGCTCTGGCCCTGTTTATTTCACACCTCTATATTTGTAGGAAGGATTCCTTTTGGGGCTGAGGATCTGGCTAACTCTCTTCAAAAGCACCTAACGCCAAATGGTTATTAACAGTGACAAAAGTGTGTGTTTTTATATATACAATATAAAAGTTGCACTTACGTTCTCTTGGTGGTGTGCAAATATGCCAACTCTGCAGGAGCTGATGTGAAAAATAAGGGGTTCACCCACAGAGGTATGGGTGATAGAAGTCTGCCTGTTGGCACTTTGGCTCCTGGGAATGGGGCACACTTACTGTACCCCTGAGTCATCCATGAACACAGACCTCTCTGAGACCTTTTTGCTTTTAAACAGTGTTCTTTTAGTGTCTCAATGCCTCCACCAATACATATCCGTGCATCCCCATCTTAACATTGTTTTCCAGCTTTCTGGCCCCTTCTCTAAAGGTTGGGAGGGGGGTGGGCGTGCGTGGTGGGTGCTGTGGTGTCTTTACTCAAGGAGCTCCTCTTGTCAGGCTCTCCTAGCCTTCTTTCTCTTCCCCCTTTCTTCTTGAACGCTTCCTTCCTGTCTTTCTTTTTTTAAACTTCCCTCCTGCTAATCGGCTGAGTAGCTCGTTAACTTCCTAACCCCTGCTACCCTAACGTACAAGAGGGTGGCAAGGCTGTAAAATATCCCATTGTTTATAGCTGCGTCTGATGCACTCTGTGTGCCTAGCTTATGTGAGAAGCAGAGGTGAGCTTTTGAATCAGGATTTAGATGCCAGACTTAACAGCCTACTTTCAGAAACTTCCTCTGCTGTGCTCCGAAATTGAAGCATGACTCTTTAGGTGGGGGATGGTACTTGGTTTTTCTACATGCAAACAATATATTTCTTGTCATTGCCAGGATCTTAATGCCTATAAAAAACAAGGAATGGCGTTGCTCTCCAAGATGGGAGAGTCCGTAAAATATGTCACAGGCGGTTATAAACTCAGAAGTCGACCGCTGGAGTTTGCAGCCATAGGAGACTACCTAGATACATTTGTTCTCAAGCTTGGAACCGTTGACAGAATAGCACAGCGGATTATCAAGGAGGAACTGGGTAAGAACTCTGGATGTTTCATTGTGCAGATGTCTAGCACACCACAAGCTTAGTACGAGGCAGTACACTGGTGGTACTGCTGAAACTACCTGCATTCAGTGATGCTGGCCTATTTTATTTATTTATTTTTTAGTGGGTGCATCAAAAGGAGGATTCTGTAAAGACACGTATTATACAACTGTCCTAAAATGACACGAATGAGTTGGGTACTTGTTAAGGTGCAAGCAAAAGAGTCCCAGTGTTTTAACTCTGTTGGATCGCCTTTAACCATTAGAAGAGCAAGTTATTCTGTTTTGTCAGCAATAAACAACAAAACGGAGTAGGGTAAATAATGAAGAGAATTCCTCTCTTGCAGTCCACCATATTAAATGTAATCACTGACCCCAATGTTTAATTCCAGGATTAGACAGCTAGAATCTATAGACTTCCAGAAATCCCTACTCCAGTATACTCCCAGATGTACTCCTACTTGGTTGTCTTGAGCTTCTTGGACCAGACTAACTAGAGCCTATTACAAATCCGCTAAAATTCTGATTTTAGGCTGTGAAGGGAAATAAAGGTCACCTGAGCTCAGGGATCGGCAACCTTTGGCATGTGGCCTGCCAGGGTAAGCACCCTGGTGGGCCGGGCCGGTTTGTTTACCTGCCGCATCCGCAGATTCGGCCGATCGCGGCTTCCAGTAGCCGCAGTTCGCTATTCCAGGCCAATGGGGGCTGTGAGAAGCCACGGCCAGCACGTCCCTCGGCTCGCGCAGCTTCCAGCAGCCCCCATTGGCCTGGAGCGGCAAACTGCGGCCAGTGGGAGCCGCGGTCGGCCGAACCTGCGGATGCGGCAGGTAAACAAACCGGCCCTGCCCGCCAGGGTACTTGGCACACGGCCCGCCAGGGTAAAGGTTGCCGATCCCTGCCCTAGCTCCTGCATAGGCGACATGTAGAAGCTCATGCAGTAGCTGTCGCCTGGCCTAATATTATAGAAGCAGTAAAACAGGAGGAATCCGACGTACTTTGGTCCCCTTACACCTTGCTCTCACTAATACTATCCCGTCTTTGTTACTGGAGTTCTTTACTGCCAGTTAAGATCAGACTCTTGGGCTTTGTGTGATTCTGTATTGCTTCTTTGAGGAAAGCAGCTAATCTAATGCAAGCACCGATAAACCTGACCTCTGTCTGAAGAGGCTTGGTGGGAAACGGGGATAAAATGGATATTAATGTTCACTGGGAAAGAAGGGTGCTTTGTAAAGTCTAGAGTTATTCTGGTAAATACCTGCCTTACTTACCACTCATCTGCATCTGGTTACATGCATCGATTGATGGTAGTGACCTGATCAGTCCTTCCAAACATTCGAGTGGAGTATGATGATTAAATCAACATCTCTGCTTTTTTAAACCAAATTGCCTAAAACGTCAATGTAGAATTGAAATTTGTTTCCTCTTAATGTCTCTTCCAGAATACCTGGTGGAACTGCGAGAGTATGGACCGGTTTACTCCACCTGGGGTGGGTTAGAAGTGGAGCTAGCAGAACCTCTGGAAGGAGTGTCTGCCTGTATCGGGAACTGCTGTACCGCTCTCGAGGAACTGAGTGATGACATGACAGAGGACTTCCTGCCTGTACTCAGAGAGTACATCTTGTACTCGGAGTCCATGAAGGTAACAGAGACCATTTGACAGAAGTCCACACTTTTGTTTAGAGGCTGGGAGTGGAATAAGCATAGAGAAACCTAGCTGTGAAATGTCATCTTGTAGGGATTGTTTCTCCTAATAAAGATAAGCTTTTTATTCTCAGTGTTTCTGACCAGGATCAGACAAATGTTATGCACATAAAAATATTAAATTTGTGTTAGTCTTTTTCTGCCTAAACAGGGGTCATGTACATTTGATCTACATTTTAGAATTGTTCTCCTATTGGTAATGGTAATGTTCTTGTCTTTCAACATGCTGTGCTTTTTAGGAGTCAAACTTGAGTCTTGGAGAGCCCTATCTAAAACTGTTTGTATGAAAGAGACAGATACTACCAAAACATGTTACTAAAATCTGTGACTGTGATAAGCTGGACTCTGCATGGAACCTTCTTACCAATCTATCTCCCTTGGTTGTCTACCATCTAAATTCTGTGAACCAAAACAGTGACATAACTTTTAAGTAATGGTGTTCAATGACCTAGATTTGGTGTGGCTATTTTTCCCCTTGCAAAACATCTGCTGTTCCTGGTTTTGTAGTATGCCACTTGATGGATAAAATCCTAGCATACTACTTGGGCACGGTACAAATAATTCCTTTGTCACAAATCTGCATGCAGGTTCTGTACAGAACATGCCTCTTTAGTGAGTAAGAGCATTGATGTAGTCTGTTCAATATGCAGGATCAGTTAATAGGCATTGTTTGTTTTTGTGCTTTAAATTATTCTTAAATCTCACTTGGGATATTAGGAGTTAGTTAGTTGATACCTTCACTAAAACTCTTTCTCTGTCATGTGCTTGCATAAGTGTTAACCTCCTGCATTACAAGTACATTTCTTTCTCTGTTCAGATTTGAGGCACGTATTAGGTTTTTTGTTCAATGAAGCATGCAAAAATATTAATTGGGTTAATCATGTTGAGTGCTGAAATTAATCACTCTGGTTTTGGCTTGTTGTTTGAGTCTGGGGCAAGGCTTTACAGAACACAAGCCAACATAGATGCAAAGCATGAGACTTTTAAACATGAGGTGGAACTAGAAGAAGACAGTCTTCTCGTCTAGAGAGAGCAGCTCTGGTGAGCCCTTAACAAGGCAATGATATATGCTTATCCATTATATGTATTTCAACTGCTGGTTTTGGAATTACAATCCTCCTTCGAAATGTTGTAAGTTCAAGGACTTTAGTGTCTCTACTTTGTCCTCATAAAGACTGAATTTTAGTCCTTTTCCAACTTTTTCTTTTAAAAGTACATATAACCTTGAAACTAAACTTGCATACAGGTTTTTCTTTATCTAATGAAAGGTTGAATTACCTCTGTTTGTCTGCCAGTTAGTTGTAGCACAGTATTTTAGTACAACAAAGAGAAGGTCTGACTTCAATCCACAAAACCCAGGAAGAAAATTCCTTTCCTATTGAGTGGTGAATCCAGAGGTGAAAGTAAGCTGATATGGTCCAGTACGGTGTACCTGCAAGAGCCAGTACACCGTGCCAGACTGGACTGGCTTCCGCGATGGTGATTTAAAGGGCCCAGTGCTCCAGCCACTGCGGGGAGCCGCGGGCCCTTTAAAGCGCCGCTGGAGCTCCGGCAGCTGGGCTCGGGCAGGGATTGAAAGGGCCCGGAGCTCCGCGGCGGCCGGAGCCCTGGGCCCTTTAATTCGCCACGGGGCTCCCATCTGCCTTTGCAGCTGGTAGCTCTGGGGTGATTTAAAGGCCCTGGGGCTCCCAGCCACAGCCGGAGCCCCAGGGCCTTTAAATCTTGAAAGGCCCCGCCTCTTCCGGTTGAGGCCACGCCCCCACTCAGGACTCCGGAGTACCGGTAAGTTTTTTAAGTTACTTTCACTCCTGGGTGAATCTCACCCCAAAAAAGAGTTAGAAAGATGGTGATTGTAATAGCAGTTTAAATACTTACTTTACACTCTGCTATACATGAAGGTATGAGACCTCTTCCAAAGAGCTTGGTGTTTCTTCAGGTCAAAGTCAAGGATGGAAAAACCATCCACAGATGGCAACTTCCTACTTCACATAGCTTCGGCTGGGAGTGCTTTCGTGCTCTGCTTATACCCAAAAGCAGGCACCAATGTGTCATGATGGCGTGTTTGCCTTCTCCACCGGACTGCTTCATGAAGCATGTAGGAGTGGGAAGCTAGTGATCACAGGAGAGGACTATTAAAGTATGAGAAACTTTAAACTTTTTACTCTTTGCACTGCTCACCTCAGAACTTCAAAGATTCCTTCCAACTTCTCCACCTTTGTCCTTAATTTTGCAGATGGTGGAACTTAGCCACAGAGATGTTAGGCAACTGCCCAAGGTCAACTAGTGAATGGGTGGGATTGTCAGGAATAGGGCCTGTCAAATGATGTCCAGTCTTTTTCTATAAACACTAGAATCTTCCATGTGCTAAAGCACCTTGCTTCCATGACTAAATATGTTCTGTTGTAACATATGAAAATTTGTAGATAACTTGGTAGCCTTAGAGGTTTGTATTTTCTGTCTTAATTCTTATACTTCTGATTAAATCCAAACCTTTACTTTTTTTAACCTGGTTTTGCTTCTCTTCATCTTTGCCTCCTACATGGAACTCGTTTGTGCCTTAGTCAAAGGACTACCCATAAAATGACAACCTTTTAAACTCCTATTAGTACCAAAGCAATCTTGCATCACAGCCATCCATATCTGGCTGAGAAGAGTGGGTCAGTCTCCCTTTGGAACTGCTCAGATCTTTTTATCTTGGACTGATGGACAGGGACTGCTGTCTGGTGAAGCGAGGAATACCATGGCACATGTGCAAAGCTCCAAGCTTAGAGGTTCTGTTAGCCTGATCATATCCAACAACTGAAAAGGAGACTTGCTACTAGGAATTGTAACAGAGTAGTAGGAGCATGTGAAAACATGGTTATAACAAAAGCCTGGTGTATGCTTAATGATTGGTCCTGCTTTGAGCAGGGGGTTGGACTAGATGACCTCCCGAGGTCCCTTCCAACCCTGATATTCTATGATTGTTTTGCTATAGGGAAGGCTGTCAGGTGCTCTTTGCTTATAGCTGCTCTTATGCAGTTTTATCCCAGACTAAATGGCCAAACTTTAAGTTGAGGAGAGATCATTCCTTAGGGCACCATCCTAGTCTGAGCTGAACAGTTCCTGAGCCTTCGAGAACTAGAAGAACTAGTTGTTTGACACAAGACCTCAAAGATCTGGGGAGGAATGAGGATGTTTAGGAGGCTTGTGTTTAAAACAGTTGCCATATTTGGAATGTCCCAGCAATGACTGAACAATCATGGTAAAGCTCTTCTCGTAAATAGAAGCAGCTAGCCTGCCTTGCTTTCTGATTGCAGATATGCTATATTCCACGGGGAAGTGCATGTGAAGGGTAAGAAACCCTGTTATGTAATTTATGCTGACTGCTATTAAAAATACTGTGATTAGACAAAGGCATATTGGCAGCATTAGTACATGCCGTCCCCAACTGTGTGCTTGGGTATTAGGTAAATGGCATAGCTCTAAAACTGCATTATAAATATTTTAAGTGCCTGACGTTTTAAAAAAAAAATTCCATGATTGAGTGGGATAAACAGATCTGTCATGGGCATGAGTGTTTGAAAAGACCTTCTCGAGGATGTCTGAACAGTTGTGTTGCAAAAGACAACTCTTTCCTGCCACCTATTTCCCTCTCTTGGGCTCCAACTTCTTTGTGTGACTCTCGGGGTGTGCTCTGGACTGAGTGGAAAGCCACACATAGGTCTGGAAGCTGTGGACCAAGGTAAAGAATATTATCGTGTCAGTACATAAGACATTTGAAATACCTCCTAGAAGGGGAAGGGACCTATGCCAGCATTCCCTTCTATCCTTTGAGGATGGCCTAGCAGTTACAGCACAGGACCAGGAGTCAATTTGGGTTATAGTCCCAAATCTGCCACTGATGTGCTGTGTGGCCTTGGGCAAGTCCCTGAGCGGCAAGTGCCTCAGTTTCCCCACCTTATTAAATAAGATCCCTATTTCACCAGAATGTTGTGCAAATAAGCGTAGTGTACTCTCGGATCCTTGGCTGGAAGGTGGTCCAGAAGTGTCAAGTAGTAAATTCCCAGCAACCCTATAAAGAATGCTAAGTATTTTGGGCCATAGCTGAGATCAGATAACATGGAGATGCTAGAGACATTCCTCCTTCTCCTGTACATTTATTTGGTAGCTTTTTTGCATTTTTTTTTTTCTTCCGTCTGCTGGAAAAAGGTTAACTGGCATCCAGACCTGCGCAGTCAGTTATTGTATGCTTCTGAATACATTATCTCTTTTCTCCCCCCCACTTCACCCCCGAAGTATCCGTACTCTCCAGTCACTTGTCCTGTGAATCTGCTTTACTGATACAATGCCTGTTAATCACTGGACCTTGCTGGTACAGGTCCAACTTACTTTACTGGTTCCAAACATCTGTATCCATGGTGGGTGCTGGCCACTTATGACAAGGCAACTATTAATTTAAAAAAATCCTCAGTAAGATTTACTTTCTCCCAATATCCCTTTTGTACGTGAGCGGAAATACCTGTTAAATACCAGTCACGCTTTAGGGGCACTAAAAATCTCAAACAATTGCAGGGGAAAATTCCACCTAGTCTCATATTGAGAACTGATGTCTCACATTTTGCTGCAGGCAAATGTAGCCAATAACATGCTTAACTTTAGAAACTGGAACTAAAGGGTTTTTGATCTGTCAAACATTCTCTCCTTTATTGCCCCCTGTGTCCTGGGGGAGATTGTGTGGTATCCTCTCTGGAATAGGGATATTGTCCTCCTTTGTGTCATGCTCAACTTTGAGTACATGCTTGGCATTTAAAAAAAATTATAGTCCTGGAGGTTACAATACTGAGACATTAGTCTTTAGGAACACGAATCCTCCTCTGCTATACTTCAAACTGATAAAACCAGACTCTGGTAATATTGGTTGATTCTTCATGTTTCTTAGTCTCCCAGAGCATCAGTTACTCCCCTCCCAAGCAAAAACTTTTACAAGTCATTGCCCAGTATGGTTGTCACGTTTAATACAGTATTACTAGTTATGCTGTAAACTCAAAGTGGGCAAGCAACAGCTACCCTAGGCAAAGACAAAACTACTTCTCTATGACAAACCTCTATTATGTAATTGGTTACTCCCTAGTCCTGTTAATATTGTAACTATCCTTACTGGATATCTTGTACTGGTTGTAAAGTAAAATTAGCGGTTTTCTAACTTAATAAGGCTCTCCAGATATATTAATACAGTGAGGGCTAGTCAGCTAGAAAGCATGAACTTTAGTCACTCAAAAATTGAACGTTTCATGTGGGAACCTTTTTCACCATCACATAATGCAAAAACAAGGGAGTGCACAATTTTGTCCAAAATTGACCTTTTGGTCTGAGACTCAGCATGGAAATTCATTTCAAAAGGATTTTGCAGAAAGCTATGAGTGGGCGGGCTGTAGTAGAAATTCATAGCTTTAGGAACAATGTTGCCTACCAACTCATTCCTTCCCTTGTTGCTTGGGCACCTTGGAAAGCTTTACAAACTAACCCTCTCAACCCCATTCAGTGTTAATGTTTATCCTTTTCATCCTCTTCATCTTCATGAGAAGATAAGTGACTTGCCAAAGGTCACAATGCAAGTCATTCGCAAAGCTCGGAGTTTTGACTGTCTCTAATCAAACAGCTATGAACATCTGACATCTGCTCACAGATGCATTCAGCCTGGAGTGCTTTTTTATTTTTATTCAAAAGCCTCTTCATAGACTCCCGTAAAACAGGAATGGCCTCTGAAAGGCACACCTGTGACTTTAGTGGCACTTCAGTTGTTGAATCCAGTCTGCAACTATTGTGGGGTGAGGGGGAAGGGGGAGTCAAAATTTTGTACATTTTCAGTCTTATGTTTTTGGGTTTTTTTTCTCTTTCCTAGAACGTCCTAAAGAAAAGAGACCAAGTTCAAGCAGAGTATGAAGCAAAATTGGAAGCTGTAGCCTTGAAAAAAGAAGACCGCCCCAAGGTTAGCATTTGAAACCACTTCACTAAATGAGTGGCATATTTATCATTCAGTCCCTCTCAACTGAAAACTCTGTGGAGAAATGGAGATAATTTTTATGTTTCTAGATCTGTGTTCAATCTCGTGCCTTTGCGAAAAAAGCAGTGCACGGCAGAGCAATGACTTATATAGCTGCAAGCTGCTTTAGGAGGCGAGCCAAGGAGAATGTGTTAACAGCCAAATTCAATGTAGAAAGGAGTAAGAGTAAGCTAGCAGGGGAAGATGAGTCGAGTTAGAAATGCTTTATAACTACAGATATACCACTGCAGCAAATGGAATTCTTTGGCTGTTCCACATGGGTGACACCTTATCCCACTGTAAGGCCTAGCTGCTGTAGGCCTGATCCAAAGCCAATGGAAAGATTCCCATTGATTTCAGTGGACTTCAGATCAGGCCCTTTAAGAACAAATGATCTTTCTTATGTTAGTGAGGTGCATCCCTTGCTGCCTTCAGGACAAGTTGCTTCCTGGTCTCGATGTAAAACCCAACCAAGATTAGCTACTATTTGGTATTGATTTACCTGCTTGCTACACGTACAGATACCTAAAGGTGGAAAGAGATGCACACATAACAAGCAGGTAAAATCAACTCCAAATAGTAATCCGTCTTACTTGGGTTTTGCATTGAGACCATGCAGCAACTTGGCATAGCATTCCTGTATGATAACGTAACGCTTCCTACAAGTTGTATTTTGTGAATTATGACAGCAACGTCCATCATGAGCATAATACCCTTAATCTCTCCTTCCCAGTCTGCTCACGCTTTGACTTTTTTCCTCCCTCCATCTTCTCCGGCAGTCTCTTTCTGTCTCTCTGAGGAGCAGAAACTGAAGAAACTTAAATGGGGAGCTTGAGTTAAGAGCTTTGCATAACTATCCCTCACTATTTTAAATTTTAATTGAAGGATCTTATTAGCACTTGGCTGGGAAACACTGATTCAAGGTGGCTTCCTCCAACTTCAGTGCTCCCCACTGTGCCTAGGGTTTGCAGCCCATTTAGTGGATGGAGTACCCATAGAGTTGCTTCTTTAACACAAACAGTTCTTAATTTACATTGGACACAAATGTGTCCTTCGGTAGAAAAACTGCCACTTCCACTTTATAGGATTTGAGACGTTCAGTGCTGAAGAGTTTAATGCAACAACATTATGCATTTTCAGTAGCTATTTTCATTTTCTTGGCCCTTTCATGTTTTCCAAAATAGCAAAGTTTGCTTCCCTTTAAATGGTGACCGCTTGCAAATTTAACTTAACAGCTTTCCAGCTAGACCTATGCAAAAGCCTTCCAACACAATGAGATCGTCCTAGTTTGTTTCCTTAAGCACTCAAATACAGCTGAGCAAATGGACATCCTAACATTTTTTGTTCAAACAATGCTGCTGCTGCTACCTAGAACCTGGGACAGGTTGGAAGTTTTTTAAAATAGTTAAATCTTCTAAACCTTTGAAACAATTTAAAATGAAAAAGCTGATTAGCGATCACTACTATACTGGGCAAGGTTATCATTTGATCTCTGGCTTTGTCTTGCTTTCACTGAACTTTTTTTAGCTGTTTGCCTGGTCTAATGGAATGTAGAAACCAAACAAACAGGCCAGAAGAACTGGAATTTGCAGTGAGTTGGACTTTTGTTGCCCCACATTGCAGTTGTACTGTTCTGTTTGTTTTTGGATCTGTTGAAGTTAATATGTCAACAAGATAATTCTGTCAAAAATCTTTCTGGTGGTCTAGCAGAAGTTTATTTGCTGTTGGTTGCAATAATTGAGAAGGATCCAAGAAATATTTTCGCTCTTTTTCACCACTGGAGGGCATTCTAGGATTTGCTGTACTTCATAACCTGACCTGATTCCCAACAGACTCTTGAGTCATGTCCAAATTCTAACAGCAGTTTGCCTTGATACAGTCTTTTTTTTAATTATTTAAGATCAACAAGTGTGTATGTATGAAATCAGATTCTGTGATTAAAATAATTCTAGCGTTTAAGCCAGCAGATACTAAATCAGGATATACTTTGCTTAACTTCAGATAGTCCTCATATGTATCCAATATAATTGTATTTGGTGTGACAGTCCATTTGCTATCTCTGCAGTGTTTTTGCCTTCAGCAGTTGCAGGTATAGAAGGACCCCTCCCATTCTCTCCTAACTTGGGCCTGGAATTCTGTATTAGAAACATTGTATGTATTGAAATCTCAATTACTAATGTAATAGATTTAAAATAATAAACGTACCCTTAACTAAAAGGACTCAATGAGCACTAAGCACCAATTGTGGAATCTGGCTTTGTCCCAAAGCTTAGAGGCACAATAAATCTATGGGAACAGTAAATAGTCTGATTATACAGAACTTCTGGCTGAATTCAAAAAGGCAGACTTGAGTTCTTTCACATATTATTGGCAATGTAAACTGAATTGCACGTAGTCAAAGTAAACCCATAAGAAGGAAATGCAAATTCCCATCCTTGAGTAGCTCGCGATGGGTTAGTCCCTATCAGTGATCATATGTGCATGGGATTTTTAGCCTTAATTCTGATTTTTTTT